ATGAATAGATCAAGAACATAAAGTGCACTTCATGTTACGACAATAATAAAGACTCATACTACATGTAGGTGGACAGATAATCCTGCCACAAATTATTCACAAATGAATAGATAAAATGACCCAATGTGATTAAATAAATTATTTGCTATCAATGACTTCTGTTATAATTATTCTTGTTGTTGTTGTTGTTGTTTTTTGGAAAGGGAGGGGGTGGGTTTCCTTATTTGGAAGTTAGGTGGGTACAATTTTGTTTCAAGCATTAAAAATACTAAATACCAAGAATATTGACAAAAATGTCACTMATGAATACATACTGGTTCAAGGATGATTCTTGCACCTTTTAACACTCTGAATAGTCTTGTAGCATAAATCTGAAACAAAATTAATWGCTGTCATAGTATAGCAAGCCTGCAAGCAAGCAATGCAGAATCCTAATTGATCTATTACTTGCAACTCATAGACAGTCTAGAATAATCAATTTTTTGTTGTCTCTGTCAAAGCGTAATGGTGCAACTTCTGCAACCATGCAAATTTGCCTTTTAGTCACATGACTAGCCATGACGTCACAATGGTGTTTTGAGTGYTATGGTGATGTGCAATCTGGTAAGGTAGGTAGGGTTTGGTAATGCAATGTTACAAGCATTAAGGCTCAGGTGCATTCAAGAGTCTTTACCACTTCATTTGATCATACAAATGACCTATTGTTGAAAGGTGCTATCTGTTTTTTTAAATATCAAAGATGGCAAATTTGTGTATGCCGGAAAATTGTGCAAATGTTCTTGGATGCACACTGTCCTTTAAAGTTAAATGTTTTTGAATAAAAGTTGCGTATCCTTACTGGTTCTTCAACAGAGTAAAATCCACTGGCTGTTCCACCTAAAAACATTATCAAATTCATTCATAATTCATAAGGGTGAAAATCATTGCCATGAGGAGGAGATCAATTTTAAATGTTTTATCTTGAGGCTTTTAGCAAAATATGTTTTTTAGCTTCTGTTGAAATTTGATAAGCAATAAAAAATATTAATATCTGACCTTTCAGTTTAAAATGCTCATAAAGGTCTCCCACTCATATTATTCCATATAAATTACATAAAAATAATCCACACTTATAAAGCAACCAATAAATCACAATGTGAAACAACTGTACCTTCAACATAAGAAATACTATCACTAACACAAACACTATCACTAACACAAATATAAAGCAACCAATAAATCACAATGTGAAACAACTGTACCTTCAACATAAGAAATTTCATTGTCAAAGATTTCTGAAAATTCTTCTGATTCATCTCCTTGCTCTTCTC